AGTCATGGAGTTCATGGGAAGTCACAGAATCCATGACCTCCGTGCCAAACATGGAGCACTAATGATAACAGCTTCATGCAGTCATTGCCAGAGAGATCCCTAGTGTAAGATAGCACAAATTTATAATGGGGAGAGTAATTAACAATTGGAACAATTTACCAAGTGTCATGGTAGATTTTCCATCACTGACAATTTTTAAATCAAGATTGGATGCTTTTCTAAAAGATCTGCTCTAGGGATTATTCTCAGGAAGTTCTATGGCCTGTGTTATACAGTCAAACTAGATGATCACAATGGTCCCTTCCGGCCTCGGAATCTATTCATCTATGACCATAATGCCCTGATTAGGAAAGGGCTGTTCTGACTACGTTGTCTTTACAGTATCCTTCTGATACCATAGTAAGTATATTAATAACTCTCCTATATAAATGTAATAGAGGGAAATATCACCCAACAAAAATGACTACATGAGACTAGCTTACTAGTAAACGGTAGATCACTTTGGATCAGGAGCGTGACTGATCATATTCCAGAGTGAAATTGCTAAAAACAGAGGACACTGCCATGAATGAGCATCTTTGAGTCCATTTTTGTGCTGCAGCAAAGTTGCTTCTTGGTTGACGGAGTCAGTAGGAGAAGGATAATATTTCACCTTATTTTGTACATTCATGACTGGAGTTTTCTCTATTTGCTTCTTAGTCTTCTGGAATTTCCTCAGTTTTCTTTTTTAATTCCCACCGCCCTCTCCTCTACTTTACAGAGACCAAAGGCAGAGATGTAGATGGTGCCCTCCACAGCCTGTTTGGGATGTCCCTGGATCAGTGGGAAGGAGTCATTCCCTTCCCCAAAGCAGCAAAGAATGTGTCCTCTGCACACCCAGTAAAGTCTTCCACCTGGGCACATTTTCTCCACCCCATGATGTCATATCATTTTACTTTACAATATTCTAGTGGAACTCCTATTCTTTTGGAACATACATTTCCAATACACAGGCTTCCACCCAGGAAGCAACAATGAGGTGTTCACATCTGCCCCTCAATTAAGGGGATCTAGTCAGAACCCTGGTTTCAAACTGGAACCGTTGATTTCAAGGTTTCCATAAAAGATGTAACAGTTGGAAGAAACCTATACTGTATATTGGGTAGGGGGATAGAGCATGACTGTGCCGTACAGTATGGAAACCAAGTACAGAGAGCTGGAGCTTTGATCCACATTCAACAATATCCCCCAACCCCCCCACACACTTACATTAGCCAGAATTTTTCTGTTCAAAATGTAACATCACCATTTACATCTATGAGCGTAAGTATCCAACAGTGCTGTGTCCAAAACAGCTTGGCTCAGTATGTACTTACAACAAGCCATTTCAAAATCAGTTTAACACAAAATTTGCTCATGGAGCCTCAGCTGTTTAGAGGGCAGTGTACAAAGCCTCTTGAACAGAAAGCCAAAGATACAAGATCCAAAAGTGTGTGTGAATTATTTGTTGACTCTCTCTAGGGATGAAGCTAAATTGTGTAGCTGTTTAAATATGAACATAACTCTAGAAATGTCAGACATGTAAAGGAAACTGAGTCTTTAGCCAGATATCCACCACCTGCATCCTGAGATGTGATGCCTCCCCATTAGGGCTCTGGAACATAGCCCTAGCATATGACCTACTAGCCAGATGCCAACAAAAAGGCAAGGAGCGAGAGAGCTAGTCACCCAGCAGGAGGAGGGATAATACAGGTAAAAAAGGCACTCCCCTATTTCCCTTATCAACATCTGAGCACCCGGGTGCTGTCTTCAAACTCTGTTCTATTTTTCTATTCTGTGGATAGTAGATATTTGATACATTTGAAGCCCCAGCCCTCCTGGCTTCTGGAAGGGAAAGTATCATTTCACTGCCCTCCAGGGGCCCTTGATTTGTGGGCTTACTGCTCCACCCTTCCCACAGCCTCTGGTGTTCATATCCCCTTCATTGGTGAACAGTGCCAGCCTTGCCTCTGTGGCTCAAAGATTCCTAAGCAGTAGTGTGAAATTGACATAATTGTTTGCTGCCTACAGGACTTTAAACAGCAGCTGTAAATTTGGGTCACAGGCAGAAGACTCCCCTGTCAAACCACAGGGGCAAGAAGTGGGGCTTTAAAAAAAAACCCAATCTGTCTCTAATTTCTGCATAGCGGTCTCAGCTGCTCCAGGGAAAGCTTTACACTGGCTCCATGGAGAGAGTATGTTGAAACCTGCCACAGGGATGGAACTCAAGTCGATCCGTTTCAGAGGCATGGGGAAAAGGGGTGTGTGTGTTAAAGTTGCCTCCTCTAAAGAGCCCTGACCTTCCCACATGCTCCAGTCCCTACACTTCACTCCCACTTTCAGCCTAGGCTGTGATACACAGACTGCAATAGTGGGGTGTGTGGCTCTAAAGCCAATTCATGGGGGGTGGGCAGAGTAGCACCAGGGCAGTCTTGCCACAGGCCTCACTTTTGTGGCCCTTCTCAGGGATGCTCAGGGGAGGTGCGGGGGGGCTGTCCCCTAGGACAGGGCTGTCACCTTTGTGGGCCTGCTTCATAGGGATGCTATAGGAAGGGGGCAGGGGCAGCCCCCCAGGGATGCTGTGGCAATAGGTGGGGGCGACCCCCTGTGGATGTCTGGGAATGGGTGGGGGGGCAGGAGGGCAGCCCCCCGGGGATGCTGTAGCAGTGGGCAGCCCCTGGGGATGCTCTGGGAAGAGGCAGGCCCCAGGGATGCTGTAGGGACAGGGGGCAGCCCCCCTGGGATGCTGTGATAGGTGGGGGCGGCCCCGGGCCTGGGCTCTCACCTTTGCGGGCCTTCTCCCCAGGGAAGGGGCAGGGAGGGCGGCCCCCTGGGGATGCTGTGGAAAGGGGCGGGGGTGGCCCCCAGGGATGCTGTAGCGGGGGGGCGACCTCCCGGGGATGCTGTGACGATGGGGGGGGAGCGGCCCCCCCGGGGATGCTGTGGAAAAGGGG